GCCTTATCCTCTACCACCACAGTTTGTAATGCCTCTTCAAGCGATTCTAGCCGCTTCATCTTTCTTTGTTCATGTGCCTCCAACGACCCCGACAGGTCGTCAATGGTAAGCGTCTCAATATTTCTAGCTTCTTCGATTGCGCATACCACGTTCTCGAATTTGTCCGTAAGTGTTCGTAGAATTTTTTCTACTATCCGACTCTCACTTACGGTTTCACCATTTCTCTTCATATGGTTTGCTATGGTCATCACCCGATTAATGTACTCGGTGACCTTCTCGTTCTCTTTCATCCGCATAGTCTCCAACTCTCCTCGTAGAGTTTGCAACCTCACTTGCTTTACTCTTTCCCCTCCTTTGAATACTCTTTCGATGATGTCCCAAGCTTCTTTTGAAGTTTCGGCATCGGCTATCTTCTCGTGGATGGTGTCGTCCACTGCTTGAAGCAACCAAAACAGAGCCGTTTGGTCCTTCTTTTGTGCTCCTTCGAGTTCCACTTGTTGGGCAACCGTCAAGACGGTTCCTTCCTCCGGTGTTGTGTAGCCATTATCGACAACATCTCATACTCCTTGTGACTTCAACAGTGCTCTCATTTGAGCATTCCATCGGTCGAAGTTTGCTTTCTTCAATTGAGGTAGTTGGCCGAACATGGTGGCTGCCATCTTCTTCTTCAACAGTGGCTCTGATACCAATTTGAAGGCCCCAAATATCCGAAAAATATTCTAAGTGTTTGGCTAACTTACAACTCAAAGGAATGGAGGAGAATGTATTATATTCCACTTAATAGAACATTACAATTGGTGGCCTTATATAGGCATTACAAGTGGAGTAAAATAATCCCTAGGAAATACAATTTACCTTTCCAAGAAGACCTTTCAACTTTCCAATAAAAGTAGGGAAAGATAATTTATGTTCCCTAGGAAGTAAACTAATTAAGATTAATTAATTAATCCCAACACACCCCAGCTTCTTTCCCCTTCCCCAGCCCCTGTAACCGCGCACCACCACCACCCGCTACTCCCCAACCGCCGCATCATCATCGCGGATCTAGAACTTCACCACAGAGACGCCAGACACAAAGAGAAGAAAAGGAAACGGCGTAGCGCGACGCCGAGGGCCAGGGCAACGACGACGATGAAGACCACATTGAGGAAGAGGGCGAAGGTGGTTGCGAAGGAGAAGGCGGCGACGACAGACAGGGAAACTACGGCGGTGGTGACGGTCAGGGAAGCTGAGACGGGGATGATTTGCTGCTTTGTTGGTGGTGGAGCTCGATGCCTCTGCGTGGGTGTGCTCTGTTTCTCCATCAGAGGCAGCCGCTGGAAGATGAATTAGGGCTCAGGTACATTAAAGTCCAAACACCTATGCTAAGTTATATTTTAGTCTTTTCATAAGTTATTTTTGTCCAACCAAAGTTTTAGTCATATTTTAGTCTTTTCATAAGTTATTGCTAATATTCATGTCCTTAATCCGATTTCCTATACTAAATATTATAGAAATTATATTAAGTTTAGGAAATAGTACGGAAAGAGTACATGTGATCGGGGTCATTTTCAAATAGGGTTTGTGTTTCATTTTTAACAAAATAGGTGATATGCTCAAATTTCGTTATCACGGGAGGGGCCCGACGCCTAACGCCGTTAGAAATCGCCGGAGGAAGATGCCAATGAACAGTAATTCTATTTCTAAAAGTGTCCGGAAAACTCAAAGAAAAATATTAGGAGGTGTGCCTCACCAAGGCAACCTCCAGACAATCTTTCTTTTTTTATTTCTAGTCACCCTTGTCACCAGAAAGTCCAACTCAAAATTGATATTAGTGAATTTATTTTTAACAAATAATCTAAACAGATCCGAAAATCAAAAGATCAGAGGAAGATGGTGTGGAGGTCTCCTTGACAAGGCGAACCTCCCATTATTTTATTTTAATTTTTCGGGCACTTTTGAATATCAAAGTTACTGTAGGGCATCAGGCCCCTTCCGTGATAACCGAATTTAAACGCATGACATATTTTGTTAAGATATGAAACACACACTCCTATTTGAAAACAGGTCCAAGCACGTGTACTTTTTCATACTTTTCCCTTAAATTTATGCACAATTATTTCAACCCTTTATATTGTGGGAAAATTGTTAAATAGACTCTCATACCAGCTATCATTAAATACTTAATTAGACACTGTTATATACTCCGTACTTAAGAAACTCCCAATCAAAAACAACAACTTGTTAAACACTTGTAAACTTGTTAACATTTTTAGAGCCGGTTTGGTAATACCCAAATCGGCTGCATGGGCTGATTCCGCTGAAATATATGATATTCTGACTGAAGTGACTAGATTCACTGATTCTGCTAATTTATGGGGGGGGGATTTAATTTAAAATATATTTTATTAATAAAAGTAATGAAAAAATTATATGAAAAATAGTTAAAATGGTTTTCTACAATACCTTCAACTAATACAATCAGAAAAGTAATCGCAACCTTACTTTTTTTGTTATTATACAATTCGTATTTGGTGAAAAAATTGTGTGATAAGTCGAATACCAGTCTCATTTGGCCCTTAGCATGTTGCCATGTCCAGCTTAGGATGTTTTTACTTGGACTGTAATTTGCTGGTCTGGTCTGGTCTGGTCTGATCTGATCTAGTCTGGTCTGGTTTCTTTGTATTTTGATAACTATCCAAGTCTGATCTGGTCTGGTCTGGCCTGGTCTTGTCTGGTCTGGGAGGAATTACAGTCCAAGTAAAAACATCCTTATTCTCATTTGGCTATCTTGTTATTCGTATTTTATTTCTTTTATACATTATTTTTTTCCTATTTCAACCAACCTAACCCACCACCTTCACCTTCACTCACCGGACTTTTTACAAAAATATTTAAAGAATGTGCCCACCAAAGTCGGCAATTTTTTCCTTTTTTGAAAAAAAATGTTGGAAAAGTACTTGCAATCGCTGCTACCAACCAATTTTTAAAAAATCTTGACAAACTATATCCACAAGTACGTACGTGCTATTATTGGGCCTTGTCATTAAAAAAAAATGCTTCGTATTCTCTAAGAACATTTCCCGTCACCTCCATTGCCAACTTTTTTACTTGCGGTTGTTTCCGACAATTTTCCTAGCTTTTTAAAAAAAGGCTGGCTTCATCGGTTGGATGGTTGCGGCTAGTTTTCATAGATTTTTAGAAAATATGTAGCCCCAATGGCTGTGGTTGTGGATACTTTTCTTAGGTTAGATAGTTTTAATATAAAAAAAAATCAGAAAAAAAATAAATGATAGTCGTTAGTATTTTTTTGACTTTGGGAATTTTTCCAAGATATAATTCAGAAAAAAATAAATGATTGGTTGACTGCAACGTTGATGGTGGTGGTAGGTGAGGGTTGGTGGAAATAGAAAAAGAATAATAAATCAAAGATACTCCCTCCGTCGTTAATAATTTTGCCAAGTTTGACTGACACGTATATTAATAAAGTAAAAACTGTATAATTGAAGTTTGTGAAGAGGAGAGAGAATTATTTGAAACCACAAATTCTTTACTTAAAAGAGAAAGTGGTAAAGTTAGTGGGACATCCATGGAAGGAAAGTTGGCAAAATTATAAGGGACGAAAGGAGTATATATTAAGAATAAGTAGATCAGGTGACAGTGAAGTGAGAACGATGTGAAAATGAGTTCAGACTAAGGCTAAACGCAACCCGCGTCCGTCAATAAATCAAATTTCCCACTACTTTATACGTATTCTCACCATCAATTCAATTTTTGCTGCAATGCAGTCACCGTCAATTTATTATCTTGCAAAGTTTATTCAATTAAAATCTTATTTTTATGATTATACATTATTTTTTATCGATAATTTTTCGGGATAATTAAGATTGAAAAGAATCAAACATTCCGATGTAAAAATAAATAAATTTGGAATTTAAATTTTTTGTTTTTATTTCAGATCCATTTTAGAAAAAAAGTGAAAAATGTAAAAAGAATATTAATCACGAGATCTTAATTTTAGCACGTGAATATAGTAAGAAAAAAAATTTAATCAAAATATCTCCAATAGTTGAGTTTTTTTCTAACTTTATATATTTGACATTGGTGTCATATGAAAGATAAAAAAAAGTTATCAATTTTGATATAATTTTTGAAATAAAATAAATACAAATTAAAAAGTTATACGTAGTAACACTTTTAATAAAAAAAGATATTTTGTTGTTGGGGTCGGCACTATCTCGATCTCCGCATCAAGACAGCTCCCCCCATTCTTTCTTTTGCCAAATCCCCCCTCCCTTGGATGCCATTCTACCCATTTGGCACCTCCAAATACATGCATGCGATGGAGGGTTAAATTTAAGTTTTGACCTTCAGGGCTGCGGATAGCCTAATAAGGTAATCAGATGCCCAAGAGGTTTTATGCATGTGTCATGCGATAACATGTTGCAATTCTTATTAATTAAGCATGAGACCTGATTAAGAATATGTTTGATTTCTTGATGATATTTTCGCTCTCGTTGTTAGTTATTTGCAGTGTTAATATATATATAATTGCTTTACAAATGAATTATATTTTACTTGTTACAATTTGCTTATCATTGAACATAATTGTTTCAAATAGTATAATGTCTAGTTTTTCACATATCTCAGATCTAACATACCAAATTATATATATCACATAAGTCTCGATTAGATTAGATTAGATGAAGCTCAAATCAATTTGGCCGGCCTCAAATTGTATAAATATTAATAGTATGACCCGAAAGTGAGGAACGCGTAGACGCAATATACGGTTGATCATGATATACACAACGAAAACCTTACATGATGACTAGCTAATATACGAGTGCAAATCAAAGACAAGGTAGAGCCGTACCAATGGTTTGATTAAAATAATCTTCATATATACATTTAATTTAAACATAAAGTTATTACTAGTCTTTTAATTTGCAGGAATCGATCAATAACAAAAATGTACGTGGCACAGCTTTCATTTTCTTAGGGTATCAATATTAACATACCTTGTATGTCGAAGAAAGTGGAGTTTGTATGAGCAAGAAGTTGTGGAAGCCATTTGAGATAGTAAGTGAAGGTTGGCATAATGATCCACATCATCAGATTTCCCAGAAACACTAACAGAGCTAAGCCCACAAATGCCCCCTGCATCATCTTCTTCCTTCCTCCATTACAGAGTACCACACAGTACTTCTCTTCCTCCGCCTCTCTCTCGCCCCTTTCCGCCCGGTTGCCGCCCATGCCCGCTGCCGCCGGTGCTTCAGGGAAGTGATGATCGATTTGATGAAGAAAGCTAATTTAAGGCCTGGTTGTTTGTGTTATCTATCAAGATTCAAAGTTATGTTTACTTCGATACTTCTAATTGTAGTATTTATATTAACAGTCTTGCTATCCAATAATGTTGCTATCCAATAATGTTGACCGTGATTGAGTTTGTTTGACAAATTCTTATATTCCTTTATGGAGCATTAAATAATCATCGCCCATAAGATATTGTTTTACCTCTTCTTTCATCACCCATTAAATAATTTTAGTTATTTTTCATATAATTTTTTTTTAATTTATTAATAACAAATATTTTAAATATAATTTTTTTCATGAATCAGCAGAATCAGCCAATACAACCACTTCATCCAGAATTTCATAAATTTCAGCAGAATCAGCCAATTCAGCCACTTTTAGTGTTACCAAAAGGGCTCTAAAATTATTTCAAGGGAGAACAATCAAATAAGCCCTCGAACTTTCATAAAAAGTGCAAATAAGCCCTTTTACGGAAGGCTTTGTCCGGCTGTCGCCATTTGGGGCGGTTTCCGGTGGAATGTTTTTATGAATTTTTTTGAGCATCTTATTCATTAAGTCTAGTTTACCCATACCAAATTGCAGCTAAAAATTCAATCGAGAAGGCAGTCAAATGATTTTCTGAAATATATTGCGTTGTCTAACTGCGCAGTTATCTTCACAAATTCATTTGACTGCCTTCCAGATTGAATTTTTAGCTGACATTTGGTATGCGTAAACTAGATTTAATGAAGAAGATTCTAAAAAAAAAACATCAAAAAAATCCACCAGAAACCACCCCAAATGGCGACGGCCGGACAAAGCCTCATATAAAAGGGCTTATTTGCACTTTTTATGAAAGTTCGAGGACTTATTTGGTAGTTTTCCCTTATTTCAACTATCCCTCAGAAGACTACTGTCAATTACATACTACGTAATACAGAGTATTTCTCGTATCTCTATTTAAATGTAATCATAAATTTTTCACTTGTTAAGAGTTCATATCGAGTGTTGTCAAATTAAAAAGATTTCATATCCGGTCATAAGTCAAACGTAACGAGTATTTATTTAGGGAGAGAAAGTAAGGCTATGGTCATGTTTGCTTGTCTAGAGGATGACATGCGATGTATGTGAATTCTAAATATTAGTATTGAATTTTTATTTTTTATTATTAATATATAATTATTGCCATTTTTATACTATTAGAATTAGAAATTGTCATCAATCAAATTGAAGTTTACCCAAAAAGCATAAATAAGACAATTACTTTTTAAATCCCTTCGGTCGGACTAAACATTGATTTCTACCCTAAATACCCCTAAGGGTATTAATTCATTATAAAATCATAAAAAGTCATAAAATATAATGAAAAATGGTAAAAAAATTAAAAAAATGATTGATAGAGTATATATTCTAGAGAGAAAGGAGAACTAGAGAGAGAAGTGCAATAATTTCTTGCAATAAATGATTTGTGAACCCCCTACAACTACCCCCAAGAAAAGTATTTATAGAGCAAATTAGGGATGGGCTCCCAAGTCTTGGGCTTGGGAGGCCCATTTACAACTAGGTCGCTATTGGGCTGAGTACAAAAAATGTAGAAATAACTGAGTGAGAAATAACTGGGCCCATTTATCATCAGAACGGCTTCGCCGACGTCATTTTCGGTCTGGCGTCAACGCCTTGCCCTTCATCACATCACGACCGGCCCCTTAGACAAGGTGTGATTATCTATCCCAAGACCGACCTCCTCAGCGCCGAGGGTCTTGAGCTAGCAAGCGGGCTCGCCATTCCCTTCCTGGACGGTGACCCTCGCCTTCATGCGATGAGCGGCTTCATCAGCACCCTCGTCCTCAGTTCACGGCAGATCCCTCGGTCTAAACGTGATCCTTCATCTCAAGGCCGGCCTCCTCAGCGCCGAGTTTCTTGAGCCAACGATTGGGCTCTCCATCCCTTCTAGGATGGGGACCGTCGTCTCTACCTGACGAACGGTTTCATCATTGCCTCGTCCTCAGATCACGAACGGCCTCCTAGCCTCTGCGTGATCCTACATATCAAAGACCGGTCTTAGTCATTCCTTTACCGGATGGCGACCGTTGCATGGATTTCGGACCGGCCCCTCGGTGCCGTCGTCCTCATATCTCGAGACCGGCTCCCAACGCCGAGGTACTGTTATAGCGACCGGGCTCGCATTCCCTTGCTGGATAGCGACCATCGCCTTCATATGACGCACGGCTCATTACCACCGTAGTCCTCATATTCAGACAGGCATCTATCGCCTCGTCCTCATATTCGGACCGGCTCATCAGCGTCGTCGTCCTCACCACTAGGCGGGCGTCCCCTCAGCAGACGGACACCGCTGCAGTTCCACACCTAGGCCGAAGGGTTCACCCCTTGGAGTTCATTTTGGGGGATCCGGTGTGCTCTTTTTCCCTCATTAGGATTTTTTCCCACAGGGTTTTTCCTAATGAGGTTTTTAACGAGGCATCGCCCCATTGTGGATTAAAAGGTGTCGACCCTCGACCCCCTATTAAAGACGTGTATTGCTCTACTCCTCTTCACCTCACTACATGAGCCTCGAGGAGTGGGGGACTGGGGGACTACATCGGCCTCCACATACATGAAATCATCCAGAAAGCAACAACAAGCAAGGACTACCAAGTGGTACCTCCGTCGGCCATGTCTCCATCGGCCAGAAGAAGGTCTGGGGGGCTACATCGGCCTCCAGCGCAAAGATATACAAATTCAAAATCCAACGAACACAAGCCCACGACAATGGTACCTCAACGTCCAACAACCATGTGTTCACCCTTCGGCCATGCCGAAGCGCAAAGTAGGACGCACATCGTCCTCAATGTCAAGGACACACATCGTCCTAAAGATCTAGGGCACATACCATCCTCGAAGCCAAGGACACTCCTCGTCCTCAAGGCCAATGGCACGCATCGTCTCCGGGACTATGACATTCATCGTCCATATCACGAACAAAACGAACGCACCACGAACGTCCACAAGCGTAAGATCCATCAACTAAAGTCAAAAACACAAGGGTAGGACATTCTTCGTCCACAGAGCCAAGGGCGCACAACGTCCTCTGGTCCAGGACCCTCATCGTCCTCAAAGTGAAGGACATCCATCGTCCTCGAAACGAAGGACTCTCATCATCCTCAAAGTGAAAGACATCCATCGTCCTCAAAATGAAGGACATCCATCGTCCTCAAGATGAAGGACATTCATCGTCCTCAAAACGAAGGACATTCATCGTCCTTAAAATGAAGGACATTCGTCGTCCTCAAAATGAAGGACATCCATCGTCCTCAAGATGAAGGACATTCGTCGTCCTCAAAATGAAGGACATCCATCATCCTCAAGATGAAGGACACTCATCGTCCTCAAAACGAACGACATTCATCATCCTCAAGATGAAGGACACTCATCGTCCTCAAAACGAAGGACATTCATCGTCCTCAAAATGAAGGACATTCATTGTCCTCAAAATGAAGGACATTCATCGTCCTCGAAATGAAGGGCATTCGTCGTCCTCGGAATGAAGAACATTCACCGTCCTCGAAATGAAGGACAAGGCAACCAACAATTATGGCACCGCCTCGGCCAGGAACACTTCAATTCCCAGGTAATCCTCTATCGGCCAAAACGTCAGAACAACAAGGATCTACTCCCTTTCACTTCGTCTACACCTCAACTCAGAGAGTGGGGGACTCCTGATGGAGTATATGGGTCCAGACCCCATGACCCACATACTCGGAAGACTAAGAGGAAGCGCAGCTGTCACCCAGTGGGTCCTCCTTCGGCCAGGTGGCCCTCCATCAGTCGTAGAAGAGTCGATCCAGAATACGGTCCAGAAGCCAAGGAGAAGAATTGACCTCCGTCGGCCGGTGCCCGCGTCGGCCAGTGCCTCCATCGGCCAGTGCCCCCGTCGGCCAGTGCCTCCGTCGGCCGGTGCCCCCGTCGGCCGGTGCCTCCGTCGGCTGGCGCCCCCGTCGGCCAAGCAACAGTCAGCTCAGAATATGGCCCAGACAGCAACCAGCTCAGATGGTCCTCCGTCGGCCGTGTCTCCATCGGCCAGGCGCCTCCTTTGGCCGAACCTCCTTCGGCCACAGAGAACTCCCAGAACCGGATTTCATACTCCCTCCGTCCCCCTGTTATTGTCTCATTGCGGTTTCGATGCTTGACCGACGATAAAGCAAACAGATCCCTGTCCGCATTGAAATTATTTTTAGGGAAAGAAAATTACATATTCTGAAACTACATTAAAAGATTTACAAAGTCGCAAAAACCAGAATCAAATTTGATAAAAAATTGATAAATAAAGTAAGAGATTAAGAGTGATTTGTGTTGACCAAGTGAATAGGAAATGAGACAATAACATGGGGACGAAGGGAGTACTTAGTTATTTTTACACTCTTTGTACTCGGCCCAGTAGTGGACCAATTGTAAATGGGCCTCCCAAGCCCAAGACTTGGGAGCCCGGCCCTAATTTCCTCTATAAATACTCCCTTTGGGAGCCATGTAAAGGGTTCACAAAAATCATCAATATATAGCTCTTCCTTCTCTCTAGATTATAGTCTATCATCATTAATTTGCTAACACATAAAAATATACTCCCTCCGTCCCTCAATACTTTGCCATGTTTGACCGGCACGAGAAATAATAAAGTAAAATTTGTGTGGTTGAGATATGTGCAGAGGAGAGAGAAATAATATGAACCACAAATTCATTGATTAAAAAGGAAAGTGGCAAAGTTTTTGGGACATCCAAAAAGGAAAGATGACAAAGTTATAAAGGACGGAGGGAGTAACTTCAAATTAATAAATGTATAACCGTAAATAAGTATACAAAATTTTACAAGATAGAAATGAAAAGAAAACAATATTAAGAAGAAAAGCTCTATTGTATACGAAGTATATGTTTGTACCACATGTAGCAACGAGTGTAACGATTAATGTTCTTACTCATTAATAAAATGACCAAAATTCTTGAGCATTCTTGAAACTTTGAGTTTTTTTAATAAAAATAAATTTGGATTCTTATGCTTCATTTATTCTTATAGAACTTTGTGTTGCTATATGAATTACATTTGTTTCATTATTTATTTATTTATTTATTTATTTATTTATTTATTTATTTATTTATTTATTTATTTATTTATTTATTTATTTATTTATTTATTTATTTATTTATTTATTTATTTATTGTTCCTTAACATACTTTGTATTATACAAAGGAAATTACTCAGGTTAGGATTAAAACATAGCATTCTTCTTAAAGTATGATCATATGTTTAATTTTCCTTAAATATGACTAAATATTACATATTCACCCCTAATTTAATTAGATAATTAATATAATTAATTATCCCTAGTTCCCTTGCATAACCAAATCGATTTTTTGGTGGCGGATCAGTCCGATGACGACAGCGGGGAACTCCGATGACGGAGGCGGGCGAGCAGATCGGTAGCGGCGATCTAGGTGATAATTTTGACGACCAGCAGTGACAGTCTACATTTAAAAGTTTATGGACTTTTTGAAAATCAATAAACTTATCCATGAATTTAAAAGTTCATAGAATTCATTCATAACAAAGTCTATGGATTTAAAAGTCTACGGATTAAAAATAGTGCACCACAATCCATATTCAATACATCCTATTTAATCTTATTAGTCATATGTACTGACCACAATAGAATAACATATTTTTACTTGTTGCCAAATATTTTCAATATAAATATCACCTTCCAACGTGTGGAAAGAGATATTACTCCGCCAAATTTTTTACTTACGAAGCTGCTTAATTGGTTATCATACAATGGTATTATGATATATATAAATATATAATCATAATGATGTTGTAAAGAAGATAACTGAGTAATCCTATTTTGGTATAGATAGATCATAAATGTCAAGATTTGTTACTTTCGGTTTAGGACGATTAATTATGCTCGTCGGTTTGTGAAGCGAGTTTTTTTTTTAATTATGCAATTTTATTTTATAATTTCGTGTGCAGGTGCAATTGCCAGTTGTAACACAGCTTCTTTAGGCAGTAGTAGGTTAGCATCTGGCAGGGATTGGTCTCAGCTTACAAATCTAGATTTCCTTTTTGGGTTTTTCATTTTCTGATAATGATAGTTGCGACTGTGAATTAGCTATAGCTAGGAGTAGTAGTGCCTTTACCTCCCCACCCCCTTGCCGGTCGGTGTTTGAGTTTGCTTCGGTGATAGCGGCGCGGACTCCCGGCCGTTGTTCTTGAGAGCGGGGTGGAAGAGATCTGTGCTCTGCTTTAGAAATGGGGCACTGTGCAGCAGTCTGGGATCCCAGAGCTGCAATTCAAGTTACAAAGGATTTGAATGGGATCGATCAGGTTGTGCTCCGTACTCCCCATGGGGCCTCTGCCAGGGTAGTATACGAATCTCTGATTTATCGCTCCCTTTATAGATTTCCTGGCTAATCCTTGATGTTAGGGAATCTATCTATCTATGTATCTATCATTTCCCTATCGAATAAGTGGAATAGTGAATGCGCTTTTTCTTTTCTGCTTTTTTATTTCTGTCAATTTTCTAAAATTCAGGTGAGCTTGAACGGAGGACAGATTACTTCATGGCGGAATGCTAGGGGCGAGGAACTCCTATTCACCAGTAGCAAGGTGATGCTCCGTGTTTATATATATATGCATTATTGTTAACTCTGAACAGGCTCTGCTCGCATACTCTCATGTTAAGTGTACTCCACTATTTGGCAATTCACGTCTTTTTGCTTCTTTGAAGCAATTCAAATACTCACATATGTTTTCATCTCTTTACAAAGTGTTGTTTTATACCTAGTATATGGCTATAGTGTTCTGTCTTTCACTGCTTTCATTTTCAAATATTTATGTCACTATGAAATGTGAGTGCTAAAATCTTTGACACGCCATGATTGGATAGGGTCTGTTTCTAACACCGAAAATGCTAGAGAAAGAAAATAGGGAGGAAAATACCAAAGATATTTAGAAAGGAAGAAAATTGTTAAGGAAATAAAATCTTGGCTCAAACTAAATTGATTTTTTTAAAATATTTACTCGAATTCATTTTTTATTTATTCACATGTGTTATGTAATCGCTAAACATTCTAAGCATATGTAATTTTTTTGAAAACATTTAGTCGCATTTCATTTTTCTTTGCATTTTCTGAGGTAAATTCAAACATACGATAACAACTCTCTATGCCTTTTCTTATCATTCGCTAGCATTTTCCAGGATCCAAACATTGCTTAAACGTAACATTAATTAACTGTCCTAAAAGGGTGCACACCACCAATTCTTAATTATTTGAGTTTTTCATGAATATTAAAATGTCACAATAAGCATGTACTACGTAGTACTCTCTCCGTCCCCCTAATATTGGGACAGAAGAGAGTGGTGAGGTTTTTAAGAAAGTAGAATTATGTGGTTGATAATGAGTTGATAAAGTGAGAATAAAGTAAGAATGAATTAGAGCCACACAAATGTTACCAAATATGGTATGGGACAATAATAGGGGAACTTCTAAAAATGGCTAAATGGGACAATTATAGGGGGGACGAAAGGAGTATTTATTATTGGATACTGTGTATAGGGACCAATGGACCACCATGAGATCTTTAATGATTGTATGTCACTCAACTGATCCCATGTGGGTTAACAAATCATTTTATTTTTTCAAGGGACTGTTAAAAGTACTAAATACATACTTGCATTCTATTGATATGTCCAGGCAATAAAGTCGCCAAAAGCTTTAAGAGGAGGAATCTGTATTTGCTTTCCCCAGGTAATTTGACATTTAGCACTGCTCTTGGTTGATGGTAATAATATCTGTAACATGAACATATGTAGTGCAGTTTGGCAATGGTGGTTCACTTGAGAATCATGGGTTTGCAAGAAACAAACTTTGGACAATAGATAATCATCCTCCATCTCTGCATGCATTTGATGCTCATGGAAAATCTTTCATTGACTTACTACTAAGACCATCGGAAGAAGATTTGAAATTTTGGCCTCACAGGTATACCTTTGAATGTGTTTCGCTTCTCGTACAAACAGCTCTATATCAGGCTAAAACGGAAAGACACTTTTTTTCCAATTAAAAAGGAAAACAAATGATTAGGGCAATATAGTTTAAAAATGCTGACTGAACAGTTCTTTTTCTTTTCAGCTTTGAGCTCCGCCTCAGGGTTTCTCTAGCATCGGATGGAAATCTCACAGTGATATCTCGTATTAGAAACATCAATGGAAAAGCATTCAGTTTCTCATTTGCTTGTCATACATATTTGTCTATCTCTGATATAAGGTGAGTCTTGTTATCCTCTTTCTTGTTTACATGTAATGCACACTTATAAATAAAGCTATACAAAGTGTAGCTCCATACCTTCTACATAAGTCATTTTTCTTGCTCTGTGAATTGTGAATTGAAATACACAAAATTCATTGCATCAGTATTTTGCATTTTATTATGATAATTTCTGTACAACTTAATCATGTGGCATTCTGCAAAAATAAAACAAAACATTACTTGCAGTGAAGTAAGGATTGAAGGGTTAGAAACACTGGACTATCTTGACAATCTCTGCCATAGAGAACGTTTCACAGAACAAGGAGATGCAATAACATTCGAGTGCGAGGTAAAATTAATCATTTGTTTAACTGAAGGGAGGGACAGTTTGTCTTCACTAAAACATCAATCTACAGAAACTATGCTCGTTGATGGTGTTTTCTTTTTTGTATTTCGTTGCTTTTCATAGTCTTGCAGTGACGCTTGTTGTCTTTGAGTTACCAAGCGATCATATTCATATTGTATTTGAGTTAGCACTTTCAACAATGTCCAAAAGAATAGTTTGTCATCCATCCTACTGCGTGATTTGGAGTAATAGTTATTTGTCTTCTTATCAAATTGAGTCACAGTGATTCTGAAGTTTTATGATTAATTCTAATCAAGACCATTTTAGTGGATATAAGAAACATTCTTAATTTTGCAGCTTGATCGTGTATATGTTGGCACTCCAAACTCTATTGCCGTGCTTGATCATGAAAGGAAACAAACATATCTAGTAAAGAAAGATGGACTTCCTGATATTGGTATGCTACTTCAATTGCAACAGCATACTTTGACACGCAGATACTATGACAGGATAATAGTTTCTTTAAAACTGATCATATATTGTCCCGTTTGCAGCGGTGTGGAATCCATGGGAGAAGAAATCCAAGGCAATGGCAGATTTTGGTGATGAAGAGTACAAACAAATGCTCTGCGTTGATGCTGCAGCAATAGAGAAACCTGTCACATTAAAACCGGGAGAGGAATGGACAAGCCGTGTAGCCCTTGTGGTTGTGCCATCCACCTTCTGCGGAGATGACCTTTAATGAGTCAAAAAGGAAGAAGCAAGTGTCATGTTTTAGGGGTGATTCAGAAAGACTGGCAACATAAAGCGTATCTTGGTGTCTGCTCTTGCAGTTTATTTAGAGCAATGGTAATACGAAAAGGCTTAGTAATGCCTCTAGGTAATAATATATGTGTGTGTAGTCAAAGGAAGAGATCCACAGTGTTGTTTCAGTGCGGTGCTACATGTTATATGAAGTTGTACTTTTATCTGTTGGGACTTCATAACTCATGTGGCATCTTGTCAGCCCCCCCCCCCCCCCCCCCTACCCTATGTCGATCCTGGGAACCCATCGGGAACAGGGTGCATTCTACTTTCTTAGAGTGTCAGTTGTAGAACAGGAAAGCCTAAGGTTTTTATGTTGGCTTCATTTCACTTGGTTATTTCAGTTATAGACTTGCTTCGTTTAATCTTGAAAACGATTTTATTGGCCCAAAAACTCTTAGGGGCTGTTTTCCTTTTTCATGTTTCCTGTTTGTATTGAATAATATGACTATGCCGAAAAGAAAACAGACAGTTGGACCTAAAAGTGGGCAATTGTTTGATGGCAAATGGTGCGCCTTGGTGAGAATGTGACATTGGTGTTATAGCTGGTTCATCCTGCAGCACGGTGGAGTAAAACCCACCACTCCCACAGTCCCACTTAGTTTGCGTGTGTGCCTGAACAACTGACTTCATGCATACTAAATAGAAACTGGCATTCCGTTGTGTGTGAAAACATCTAATTCCTTCACATAGTATTTGATCTTTGTTTGTCAAAATTTCAGTTATATAACATGGCTTGGATTTCAACATTCTTGAGGGTGATAATGAGTATTTTGAGGAGTCTCGAGAGCATAAATAGATTATTTGTGAAATGAAGCACAAAAAAGGTAGAGTATAAGGTGTGACAAGAGTATTAGATAAAACCACCCAAAGGAATGCCAAGTCCTAGGTGGAGGAACGCCTAGGAAATTGACGTTCCTTTTAGCGTTCCTTTGGGAAATGATGTTCTCTTCACTATTCCTTCCACCTAGGGTTGGATTCGGTTCGGGCCACCCGGCCCGTGACCCGGCCCAGCCCGGTACTGTGCGGGCCCGAGACCGGCCCGGTCGGGCGGTCCGGGACCGGGTATGGACCCGAACCGGTGGGAATGAGCGGGGCGGGCTCGGTGCTGGATTAATGTGACCCGGCCTGGCTGGGCCCGGGCCCGGGTCCGGTCTTAATTTTAAAAAAAAAAATTTGGGTCTTGGGCTAGTGGGCTACTAGCCGTTGGGGGTGGGGCTGGGGACAACCCAAACGCTTATATAGCCGTTGGGTGGGGTAAAGGGGGGGGGGGGTCCGGGGGGGTTGGGTGGTGGGGGGATGGTGGTGGGGGGTAAAAAAACCTATAAATACTTCTAATCTTAAGCATTTTTTCATATCTCTTCTCCAATTCTTCCTAAATCCTATTCTTAACTCTCTACTCTCTAATTATCTTATTCTCCAATATATTATATTTATTATTTATATATCTACTTTATAGTTTATACTTAAGAAGTTAAGATGGAAAATCAAGATGCCATTATACGGTATAATTTTGATAAGCAGAAGGACCCGAAGACCGGGATGTGGTACGCAATTTGCAAATGGTGCGAGAAAAAATGTAGCATGGGGGTTTCAGGCGGATACGGGATGGCAATCAAGCATATGAAGTCATGTGACAAAGCTAAAGGATCGGGAGGTGCGGGAAGTTCCGATTGATTACAATTTTCAAAATGTTTGTCTCTTAAAGTTTGTTTTAATTTTCAAATGTAGTTCCTATTTCATTTCAAATAAATGCACTTGAAGTTTGTTTTTAATACTCATATAAAACTATAAACTAATAGTCTAATACCTTCTCATAGTTTTTTGTCTTTGTTTGTCAATTTTCCTGTGATTCCCCCCATTTTTCTTCACTTCTATAAAACCTTGGTAGAACAATTTTTAGAGCATTCTTGAGGTGAATACAAGTATTTGGAGGAGTCTCGGGAGCAGTCATAGATGTTTAAAAGACCCCAGAGGTGAAGCGGGGCACAAAAAAGCAAGAATCAAAGGCGTTAGAGAACTTTTGGAAGGAACAACCTGAAGTAACACCCAAGAAAATTGTTCCACTTGGCTTCCTCTTATTATTCCCCAAATTTGTACCATTTCAGAGTCGCCGTTGTATAAATGGCCAAGGAAATGAAGTTCCTTCAAGGAATCACGTTCGCGCCACTGATAGAGTATATCTAGAGAGAAGTGAGAGCTAGAGAGAGAAGTGCAATAATATGCTTCAATAGAATGAATTTGTCCCCCCTATAACTACTCCCAAGGGGAGTATTTATAGAGAAAATTAGGGTTGGGCTCCCAAGCCTTGGGCTTGGGAGGCCCATTTACAACTGGACCGCTACTGGGCCGAATACAAAGCCACTAATGGGCTGTACGAGTGAGTAAGTGTAGGATCCGATTCTGGGAGGTCCTCGTGGCCGACGAGGTCGTGGCCGACGAGGGCACGGCCGACGAGGGCACGGCCGACGGGGGCACCCGGGTTCCTTGGACTCGGGATCATAATCCGGGTGGCTTCCTCTCGGCCGACGGGGGCGTCTTGGCCGACGAGGGCGTTTGGCCGACGAGGGCGCCACTCTGTCTTGTGCTCTGTTCTTCCGAGTATGTGGGTCCTGGGGCTCAGACCCATATACTCCATCAGGAGTCCCCCACTCTCTAAGCTGAGACGTAGACGAAGTGAAGGAGAGTAGATTTCTGTGCTTTGTTGTTTTTGGCCGTTGTGGCGTTGGCGTTGTTTCCTCTCTGGTGATCCTATTCTGTGCTTTGGCCGTTGCCTGTTCCTTGCTGTGGGCGGGGAGGCCGTCATTTCCTTAATGTGTTTTGGGACGATGAGTGTCCTTCCTTCAATGGTGGCCGTTGAGGGCGCGCTTTCCCTTTCCTGGCCGTTGGTGTTTGAAGTTTACGTTTGGGCCGGTGAGGCCGTTGAGGTTGTTCCTTTGTGTTTTTGGCCGAAGAGCCCGTCAAGATTAATTGTTGGCGGAGGACGATGAGTGTCCTTGCCTCTAGTGGCTTGTTGGCCGTTGCTAGTGATGTTATGGGCCTTTGGCCGATGAGGTTCTGTTGTGCTGTATGGATGATGTGGCCATGTTTTGTGGTTACCTTGTTTATACCTTTGTTTCGTTGAGGCCGGTGTAGTCCCCCAGTCCCCCACTGCTTCAGGCCGAAGTGAGTGAGGGGTGAAGGAGTTGCCTGAGTCCTTGGCCGAAGCGGTCTCGCCGTAGTCCCCCTGAATCCAACTCTCATGGCGATTTTCTGGCCAAGGTAACCCTGTGGGAGAACCCTTGTGCGCAGATCGCTTGTAGAGAGTTATCATCAAGGGTTATTACGAGGAGCCGAAGGCTGTGGGCTATTTGTTCCCTTTGTTCTGTGGCCGTTATGTACCTGGCCGTTGACATCCTCTTATTGTTTGGCATTTGTGATATTGGCGAGCAAATGGGACGTTGAGGGCGCTTGCTGGCAGTTGTAAAGCCGTTGAGCGTGTGTAGGCCGTAGAGTCTGATTTGCCAGTGGGCCGTTGATATGGGTTGGTCCTGGCCCGTTGGTGACGTGGTGGCCCCCCAGTGGTGGCCGTTGATGTGGCCATTTGGTGAGTGCCACGTGTAGTGACCGTTGGTGGTGGGGTCTATAAATACCCCTTCCCCTCCGACGAAGAATCACATTTGCATTCTGAATTTGTCGAAGTGCTGGCCGATTTTCTAGAGTCTGATTCTTCATTGTTTGAGGTTAGTGTTCATCACGATCTTCCTCACTTTTCATATTTTGCTCCGTAAGTAGTTGATCTAGTGTTAGGCATCTAAACACCCTTAGATCGTAAGTTCTCCTTAAGCCCGTAGTAGTAATGAAGAGTTTGAACGAGGACTACTACCCCTACGACGACCAGCCCTCCACGAGGTCCCTTGACTACGAGGTGCTCGAGGAGTTTGAAGAGGAGATAGAGTGTTTGAGCCCCTACAAATCCGTAGAGCTAATGGACGAGGAGATCGAGGACGAGGAGTCCGCCTCCTCTTCAGAGGGTGAGGACGTAGGTGCGTCCCGAGCGGTGGACGGGGCGTCCACCTCTGCTGCCGTTCCGTGCCCGAAGCCGGTATCTGCCGTGAAGGGCGCATCGAAGCCGAAGAGAGTGAGGAGGCCGAAGAATGGGCCGGGTCTCTCCTACTTGGACCTTACCAACATATTCCTGATTAAGCCGGAGAGCAGTGAGGCCGACTATCTTGTCGCCCAGATGTACGTGGGGCCGTTCGGGCGGGTTAGGGCACCCAGGCCGACGGACCATGTTCTACTTCCGCCACCGGGATACTTCGGAGTATACCCGATGAGTTTTGCTAAGGGGCTGAGGTTCCCCCTTCACCCCTTCGTCACCGAGTACCTGGACATGGTGGGGCTTCCTCCGGCCCTGCTGACGCCGAACAGTTATTCCTTGATAGTGGGCTTCTTGCTTCGGTGTGAGGAGTTGGGCTACAGGCCGACCACGGCCTTATTCATGAACTTGTACCAGATCGGCCGAGGAAGCCACAAGAACTGTGCGGCCTATGCCACTCTTCAACAGCTGCCGAGGAAGAGGAGCTTCACGGATTTGCCTACGTCCATTCATGGGTGGAAGAGCAAGTTCGTGTTTGTGTCCATTGGTGAGAGTGGCACCGAGTTCCCCTCCCTCGGCCACGCCGGGAGGTTCAACCTTCATGACCCGCCGAAGAGCTCTATTCTGGACGCTCAGGTGGAGGCTTTCCTGGAAGGGGGGCCGAGGAGCGTGAAAGATTACGTCACTGAATACAAGATGACGGCCCTCGGCTTCTTCAGATATCACTTGTATGGAGATAAGGAGGATGACCTCCAACTCTGGCCGAGGATGACCACCAACTTTGAGGAGGCCGATGGCCCGCCTTTGGGCATTCCCGCTGAGGCCGATGGTAATTCTTCTTCGGCTTTGTGTCTTTACGTTTTGTCCTTTGCCTTACTAATCTGTTTGTGCTTTTCCCTTGTAGATTTTGTCATGGACCGCCGTTCTATGATGGCGATTGCGAAGGCCAAAGCGGCCGAGGAGATTGCTGCCAAGGCGGCCGAAGCGGCCAGGCGTGCCGCGGCCGGTGTGGGCGGGGCTAATGCAGATGCTGCCCCAAAGCCTGCCCCGTCCAAAAAAAGAGACCGGCCACTGACGGCCAGAAGAAGTTGACCGAGGCCGGCGTGAGCGTCTCTAAGAAGACGAAGAGGGCTCCTTCCCCTTCTCCTGCCAGTGAGGCCGGTACGCTTACCGTCCCCAGCGTGGGCGATGGTGGTCCCGTCATAGACCTTACTGTTGCTGATGGTGCCGCCCCAGCGCTTCCTCTCGTCCAGGAACCACGGACGCAGAGGGCCGGCAAAGAGGTTGCCGGTGCTACCTATCAGAAAGTGATAGAGTACCCCGTCGGCGGGGGCGTGTTCAATGAGCTCGTCCCCGGCCATGTCGTCCTGGCCAAGGCCATGCCGGCCAAAGATCGGACTCATCTGAAGAAGCTCGAGGAGCCGAAGATCTATGAGGGTGGCATGGATCTCCTCGTCCAAGTAAGTGATTGTCCTTATATCCTTGTCTTTCTTCGGCTATGTAGGGTTTTTGCCTGACCTTAGTTTTTCTTCTGCAGAGTGCCTTCATGCTTATGGAAAGCCATAAGAGGCAGTACTGGGAGATTGCCCGCCTGCAAGCACTGGAGCAGAAGGCTGCCTCGGCCGACGAGGCGGTAGCTTGCCTTGACCGGCTCCGGGAAGATGCCAAGGCGCTGCAGGCCAAGGCTGATGAGGCCGTCGCGGCCAGGGACGATGCCCTGGTCAAGCTCGAAGAGAGCAGAAGGGAGCTTGAGGAGTCCCGTAGAGCGCTTGAGGCCGAGAAGCGCAGGAGCGAGGAGGCCACCAAGGCGAAGGCTGAGGCCGAAGCCGCCGTTGTGAGGGCTGCCGATGAGGCTGTTGAGAAGTTCCTGGCCGAAGGGTGGAAGGCCGATGAGAGGCTCCCCTGGTGTTACGAGGTGGTGGCCGCCAGGCTGGAGAATTGGGGGATGAACTCCCCTGCCGGCCGGGAGTATTTCAGCCAGGAGATGTCTGTTTACTACAACCTGGGGCAGGAGCGGATGCAAAGGCTCCTGTACCGGCGGCTATCCCGGGCGTTGAAGGCCATGAATTACACGGCCGGATGGGCTAGACGAAACCTGAAGCTCCCAAAGCTGATGAAGGATCCCGAAGGGCAGGCCGCGCTTCCGCTGTCGGAGCGGGAGTCCCCCATAGAAAGCTCCGGCCTCGGCGAGCCGGACTATACCGAGTTCGATTTCTTGGATGATGCCACCAGCGCCGCTGCCGGCCAGGAAGCTGAGGCCGATGAGGAGGGGGCCGACGAGATTGAAGAGCCAGCCCCGGAGGCTTGATCGGCTAGTCCCTATTGTAGTTAGCTTTTCATTTTTTTGCCCAATTATGTAATGGCCGTAGTGCCCTCCAATTGTAATGAATTTTATCAATCGAGGAAATTTTTGCTGTCCTGTTCGGCCTTGAATCCTTTGTGTGCTTGTTTGCTGTGTCATTTCAATTCTGTAAATTGTCTAAGTATCAAGTCATAACTTGGGTCACCCGCGAGTGTCCGCTACGTCCGTGAGGTTGGCCTTCCCGTCCAGTAGTCTGGTCGGCCTATGCCTTTTTGATTTACTGTCATAACACTTGGGAAAAAATTCCCCAAGTGTTTTTGGGTCCATGTAGATCCCGTCTTTACGGCCTAGTGGCTTCGTCGGCTTGGACGTAGTTTCATAACACTTAGGAATTTTTCAAAAATTTTCTAAGTGTTTTGGGATCCACTTAGGTGCTTTCCTTTCGGCCTGGTGGCCTTGTCGGCTTGACCGGTGTTCCTTTGCCATCATAACACTTAGGATTTTTTCAGACAATTTCCTAAGTGTTTTGGATTCCTTTTAGGTGCTTCCGTTTGTAGCCTTGACCGTAGTGTCCGTTCTGTTTTAGCGTTGGCGTCCTCATCGTCCTGGCCTTGGATACATCTGGCCATGGCCGTTGGCGGCTTGTATCCCTGTGTTCTGGCCGATAAGGGCACCTTCACCATAGTCTCGTGGACTTTGAATTTTTCATAAGTACACATGTGAAGGTGTAGGTGGCTAACGGCTTTGTAGTATACTGGTACCCGCTTCGGCTAGAGTTTCTCCATTTTAGTACTTAGATAATTTCCTAAGTATAAATGTTAGGCGTTTACTTCTTCGCGGTGCCACTGCCGGCCGAGGTCTGGCTTGTGGCCGATGAGGGTGCTGGACAAAAAATAGCTTGTCCAAGGAGATGGTCCTGTATTCGTCGGCTAGCTATGGTTCCAGTGCCTGCGTCGGCCATCCGAGGTGCTGTGCCCGCTTCGTCCCGATCATCCTCAGGATTGCGATGCCTTGCTTCATACCCAGCGTTGGTGCCTCAAAGGTCCATGGCCGATGAAGGTCACCTCTCGCGTGTCACCCAACCGATGTGGTTAGGGTTTTTAAAGGCGTGTGTATCGGCCTTGATTGTTCCCTCGTGGTGCGTGGACGTGTCGTCCTCTTTTTTTTTTTTTTTTTTTTTTTTTTTTTTTTTTTTTTTTTTTTTCTCGGGGGTTATCCTTCTTTCAGGCTTCGGCCGAAGGGTGTGCTCGTCCTTCGGCCGGTTCGGACTTCGTTTATAACGTCCGTGGACTCAGGGCGGGTCCCGTCGCCTATTTATGACGCGGGCTAGACTTTTGGTCGGTTTCCAACGGCTGTCGTTGCCCATCCCTGAGTTTTGGGATTTTGTCACCTCGGCCATGATTTCAGGCCTGTCGTCCTGCGATCTGGCGCGTGTACGACGCGGTGAGCTTCCCGTTTCAAGACGTGGGCCGTTTGCGGGCCCCTCGTCCTGGGGACATCGTCGGCCATACCTGAGCGTTTCACTTCTAGGTTTACGGGGCCAGGACAATGTGCTCTCTCAGCTAGGCCTGAGCCCTTCGCTGATACAAAGTACAGTGGAGTGCCTGAGCTTGTCGCTCGTAGGCTGCAAATGCAAGGGGCCATGTCGGCCAGACCTGAGCCTTTCGCTCTAAGGTGGCCGACGAGGGCACCTGCTAATGTTTTTACTTTAAATTCCAGAGAAAAAATCAGAACATGATTTTATTCATAAGTGGCTCGAGGCCGAGGGTGGCGTTCAATCAGTAACCCGTTAAGGGGTGAGGGCTTCGCCGTCTACACCTCCTTCGGATTACTGATAAAACTTCACCAGATGATGTACATTCCATGTTCGTGGTACATTGGACCCATTCGGTCGTTTAAGTTTGTAGGTGCCGGGTTTGACCACGGCACTGACGATGTAGGGCCCTTCGTACTTCAATGCTAGCTTTCCACCCTCTGTCCGCTGGCTTGCTTCCCTTCGGCGGAGGACGTAGTCCCCCACCTGAAATTCCCGGGAACGTACCTTGGCGTCATAGTATGATTTCACTTGACGCCGGTAGTTCTCTGCTCGGACGTAAGCTTGCTCACGCCTCTCATCAACCAGGTGTAGGTCAATCTTCATGTTCTCTTCGTTGGTGTCAGGCTCATATTGCTCCACTCGCCGGCTGGGGATGGCTACCTCCGTGGGCGCCTTCGCCTCAAAGCCGTAGCATAGGGCGAAAGGTGTTTCGCCTGTCGCCCTCCTCGGCGTGGTTCTGTAGCACCACAGGATGTTGGGGAGCTCGTCGACCCAACTACCTCCGGCGGCCTGGAGGTTCTTCTTCAGCCCCTCCATTATTGTTCTGTTGGCGTTCTCGACCTGCCCGTTGCCCTGAGGATAGGCAACGGAGGAGAAGCGGTGCCTCACCCCAAACTCCCGGAGGAGCTCCTGGAAAGGGGCTGCCTCGAATTGGGTGCCGTTGTCTGATATAATCTCCTGGGGGACGCCAAAGCGTGTAATGATGTTCTTGTAAACAAATCTTTGGCATCTGGCCCCCGTGATGCTGGCCAAGGGTTCCGCCTCAACCCACTTGGTGAAGTAGTCGACGGCGACGATGATGTAGCGGTTATTCCCGGCGGCTCTGGGCAGGGGGCCGACCAGGTCAATCCCCCATCTGGAGAATGGAATTGCGGTGCTGACAGGGGCATAATTGACAGCTGGCCGACCAGGGGCCTTCTGGAGTACCTGGCATGTGGTGCATTTCCTGGCCAGGTCAGCGCAGTCGCGTGCCATCGTCGGCCAGAAAAAGCCCTGGACGACGAGACGCCGGGACATGCTGAAAGGGCCCTGGTGCGAGGAGCAGACACCGCAATGTACTTCTTCCATGGCTGTGTCGGCCTCGTCCTGGTGCATGCACCGTAGGAGAGTGCCATTATAGGACCGTTTGTAGAGTTTGCCATCTTCGATGGTGTAGCTTGGGGCCCTGAGTTTGGCGAGTTTGGCCCTCTCCTCGTTCGGGGGCAACTCCCCCGTTGTGATGAAGGTGGCTATGTCGGAGATCCAGTCCTCTGGTCGCTGGTGGACGCACAAGACGGGGCTGGCATGGATACCGGACATGCTCAACTCCTCGATCTTGGCCAACTGGGAGATGTGCTCCGGTGTGTCCGAGCTGAGCTTGGAGAGGATGTCGGCTTCGGCGTTCTCGGCCCTTGGGATCTGAGTGATCTCATGGGTTTCAAACGCTTTCAGCAATTCATCCGTCGCTTGTTTGTACTGCCTCATTCGGCCTTCCTTTGCTTCGTACGATCCCTCCACCTGGCCCACTACTAGTTTGGAATCGCACTTGATTCTGAGGTGCTTGGCCTTGAGGCCGGCGGCGAGTCTGAGACCGCTGAGGAGGGCCTCATACTCGGCTTCGTTGTTGGACACCCTGAAGTTGAAGCGGATGGCATAGTAGGCTCTGAATCCTTCAGGGGATATGAGGACGCCGCCGCCGCCGCATGATTTCGCGGCCGACGAGCCGTCAGTGAACAGGGTCCACGTGGCGTCCGGCTCGGGCCCGGGGTTGGCGACGGCCGTCTCCCTTGCTGTGCATTCGATGACGAAGTCGGCCAAGGCTTGCCCTTTGATAGATGGCCTTGGCTTGATCTCAATTTGAAACTGACTGAGGAAGATCGCCCACTTCACCATCCTCGAGGAGCTAGTGGGGCTCCTCATGAGCGCGCCGAGAGGCTGCTGGGTCAGCACATGGACGATGTGGGCTTGGAAATAGTGCCCCAGCTTCTTCACGGTGTGGACGATGGCCAGTACCGTCTTCTCAATGGGGGAGTACCTGAGCTCGGCCTCCCTAAGTGTCTTGCTGATGTAGAAGATGGCCTTCTGCACCCCTTCGTCCTCACGGATGAGCACGGAGCTGATGGCCGACGTGCTCACCCCTAAGTACAGGAAGAGGGTTTCGCCGGCTTTGGGCTTGGAGAGTATGGGTGGGGACGACAGGTACCTCTTCAATTCGTCGAATGCTTCCTGGCACTCCGTCGTCCACCTGAAGCTGGTTGCCTTGCGCATGATCTGGAAGAAGGGGAGTGCCCTCTCAGCTGACCTGGAGAGGAAACGGTTCAAGGCCGCCAAGCGCCCCGTCAGTCGCTGTACCTCCTTGACGTTGCGGGGCGGCTCCATGTTGATGATGGCCTGCGTCTTTTCCGGGTTTATCTCGATGCCTCTCCGGCTGACCATGTAGCCGAGGAACTTGCCACCCTGGACGCCGAAGGTGCATTTCTTGGGGTTGAGGCGGAGCCTGAATTCCTTCATTATCTCAAAGATTTCCCGGAGGTCGTCGGCGTGGGAGGTGGCCTGCCTGCTCTTGACGATCATGTCGTCGACGTACGCCTCCATCGTCCGGCCAAGGACCGCCCTGAAGACCTTGGCCACCATCCTAGTGTAGGTGGCGCCGGAGTTT